TGATTTTCGATTAATTGCACAGCCCTAATTTGTTTGTCATAAAACACTTGGCCACTGCTGTGCGTGCGTCCTGTTAGTTGGATTAAGGTCATCAAAAATCGCTGTTTACATGGTCGACTCTAAATCAGAGGATTGTCTTAGTCATATTAAAGTATTGGTGTCCATGTAAACATACTCGGTGATGTAATTAAGCTGTCACTCACTCCGATCATAACCTCTAGCAAGTCTTTCACTTTCTGTCTGTCTGTCTCATCTTGAGTATTCATTGTTTCTCTGCGTTCCTGCCTCTCTTTCGTTTCTTTGAAACTTTCTTCTCTCTTTCACGCTTCCTTTAAGTCCTTTTGCTGCGTGGTGAGTTGCTGAGTTTGTTGTCGTGTTCTGCTGTGTGATATTGTAGCTGATGTCTTTATTCCTGTAAGTGAATGATGCATGTTGCTTGTTTGGTAACATTACATTAAGATCCCATTAGTTAACATCAAGGTAGTGCATTTGCTTAAGATCATCATTGGTTCTAGAATGTTAATGTTAGATATTAAAAATACAGATTTCAGTGTTCATTTAGTTTAGCTTAGGTCAGTTAAGAAGATATAAGCAGATCTGTTTAGAGAGTTGTTTGAAAATAATTTCTCAATGTTAATACAAAAATGGGAACTTACTGTAAAGTGTTACTTCAGTGTTTTTGTTAGCAAATGATGTGTAATAATGTATGCGTTTGGTAAACCGGTTTATATTTGGAGATGTACTATTGTCTACCTGTTTGTTCACCCCCTTTTTCAGAATTTTCTGTATTGCATTATCAGTGTCATGATCAATATTTGCTTATTGAAAACAGTGTATTGTTCAGGAGCTGAAGTCTGTCTGAGGGTGCTTTCACACCTACACTTTTGTTTCCGAACCTGGCGTGTTTCCCCAGTTAGCGCGGTTCGTTTGGCATAAGTGAATCCTTCAATCGCGCTCCGATTCATGCCAAAACAATCTGTCCGAGATCGCCTGAATGAGGTGACCAAGTCTGGAGCGGATCAATTGTAGTGAGAAAGCGATACAGTCCGAGCCTGGATATACCACAGTGTATCATGGATATGATTTATGAATTATGACTAGGGTGGGATGCCATTCCTATCGGTAAATTTGTGTTTCATTTACGAAAGGGAAAGCATGTTAACTATCAACAAGAGCTGTTTATCCGTTAAGAAATTTGACCGAACTGCAGTCTTGGTTTATCTGTTATTTCTCTCAATAATGTAAAGCCTATAATACATGATTCTAGCCAACAGCTCTGTATGAAAGAGTCTTACCTCTGATTTATACTTGGAGACGACCGTTTCAATCGTTCAAAATCAAAGAGCAGCTTTTTCCTTATATGGGTTTGTTTGACGTCATAGTACGGTACGTTTAGCTAGTGTGAACGTGTCTTCTGAACTCGGGTGCTCACCTGTAAACTGTACCCAAGGCCGTCTGAAAGAGGTGGTCTGGGGTACGATTCATGCGAACGCTGGTGCGGTTCACTTCTGATCTGAATGCAATTGTACCAAATAACAGATGCAAACCGCCAACTGTACAATAAACTATCGTTTTCATAACGTTCATTTGTGTGTGTGTGTGTGCCGAGCTTGTACACCGAGACTAATAACCACACACACTGAATTAACTTTGGCTGAGGCACCGAATGCAGCCGCTGACCCGAAGCTCCGCCGCGTGTACCCCAACAGAAACCCACGCCGCGCAAAGCCGCTAACCTGAAGCTCCGCCACGTGTACCCCAACAGAAACCCACGCCGCGCAAAGCCGCTAACCTGAAGCTCCGCCACGTGTACCCCAACAGAAACCCACGCCGCGCAAAGCCGCTAACCTGAAGCTCCGCCGCGTGTACCCCAATAGAAACCCACGCCGCGCAAAGCCGCTAACCTGAAGCTCCGCCGCGTGTACCCCAACAGAAACCCACGCCGCACAAAGCCGCTAACCTGAAGCTCTGCCGCGTGCACCCCGACAGAAACCCACGCTCAGAACTCCGAAATGCACAGCGCCGTGCCACGCAAAAGATACAAGCAATAATTCCGATTACAGCGATAATGTGGAGAATATTGATCTTGTGTTCAGCCCAATGAGCTTGTCATCTAAAAATAGAGCAAGGGTGTTCCTTTAATGATATCGCTTTGACTCACACGCTGAAAATGGCGGACGTGCAACAAGAAACTGAGGATATGATCGTGACGCAAGACTGTCAATAAATATTGGTGGGCAGGGGGACCGCACTCCTACGTAAAGTTGCGGTCGGTCTGAAAACCGCTCCAATTGGTCCACCGTTTTTTTTTTTTGTGGTTAAATTGAAACAAAAGGACTTTGTGTGTTTATATCAGCCCAATATGACGGTCTATACACTATACTTTCACACATGTTTGTCCAAACAGCTTGAAAAGTAGATTTTTCAACATAGGTGCCATTTAAACAAACAAACAAACAAACAACCATGCACAAAATACACAACCCTAAAGCATAGATCAAATAAACGGCAACAACACCAGCACGGCTCCTCAGCAGCGGCTGCACAAGACACGCACAGAAGTCTCAGACCTTCATCAGGACAAGACACGTAGAGATTTTCAACAAGTACGGGTCATGCTCTCAAGAGAGACAAGATCAGGAAAAGGAGACAGCAATTAGTAAAAATCAACAAACTCCCAAGCAACACAATGAAGATATTTGTAATAATAATAATAATAATAATAATAATAGGCGACGCAGTGGGTAGCATGTTCGCCTTACAGCAAGAATGTCGCTGGTTTGAACCTCAGCTCAGTTGGCGTTTCTGTGTGGAGTTTGCATGTTCTCCCTGCCTTCGTGTGGGTTTCCTCCGGGTGCTCCGGTTTCCCCCACAGTCCAAAGATATGCAGTACAGGTGAAAAGGGTACGCTAAAATTGTCCATAGTGTATGAGTGTGTGTGTGGATGTTTCCCAGAGATGGGTTGCGACTGGAAGGGCATCCACTGCATAAAAAAAACTTGCTGGATAAGTTGGCGGTTCATTTCACTGTGGCTACTCTGGATTAATAAAGGGACTAAGCCGACAAGAAAATGAATGAATGAATAATAATACTAATAATATTAATAAAAAGTAAAAGAATAAATAAAGAATAAACCGTGACAGCGGGACTGAGACAGGGCAAACACAGTAATACACAGTGATGTCTGCCTGTCTCCTCCAAAAACAGCTTCTGCAGACACTGTGTGATGTTCTGAATGTTTATAATATGTTTGCGGCAGATGGACTCGAGTCGCTTTCTGTATGTCCAAAACCACAAGATTCAGTGAAAGCAGAATGGCCTCGATATGTGGAAGTCTTTCCATTTCGGTGCTTTGCTTTTGTGACCGTCACCTAGCAACGATCATAAACAAAACAGCAGCTCGATGACGCAAGCGTACCGAGGTTCAAAAGGAAAAAAGACAGTGTGAACACAAACCAACCGAGGAGGTGGCAAGCGGGGACAATCGAACTTGGGTACAGTCTAGGCAAGTGAACCAAGTGTGAAAGCACCCATAATGTCTTATTGCTCATCGCCATAAATTAAAATAAGGACGCATGAGAGCTGAACGGGACTCTGACCAATGTAAAGAGAGTTTACTCACATGTGACTTGTTTCAGCTCTTTTGGTCTGTTTAGAAACTTTGCCGTTTGAAAGTGAACCGCACCAAGAGCAAAGATCAACACATCATATCATAACAATTTTAATCCTGTTTCAGAACAAGAGAATTGATTTGCAGGTGTGAAAGCAGCCTGAAATCAGATGTGAAGCAGAAACATGTACAAGATACTTTGTCTCTCTGTCAGTGCGATTCTTCTCATATTCAACAACTTGAGTTAGGCTTGGATGATACAAATGTATGAATATTTGACCGTACACATTCATTTGGGCTAAACAATATATCGTTTCAGCATTGATTTCACAATAGTCACATCGCAGCTTATGATGAGTCTGATGTGACGTGTTTCTAGTCCAAAATTTGAACTCAAGAAAATATTATTTTACTTAACCCATCGGCAGTAGAGCTGTGCGGTTTGGAGAAAATATCTAGTTGTGCGATTTAGTTTTTTTTTTTTGACAGAAATTGTGATTTTTGGATTTGATTAACAATTTAATTTACATTTTTTTAGTCAAGCTTCCATCACATAAGGGCAAATATAGATGACCAAAACATCATTTACTCATTTTACTCATTATTTATAGTGTCCAACACATTGATATTAATATTAAATGCTACTTTTGTGCCTTGATTAGCTTTTTTTTTTTCTCGGGTTAAAAATCTTGAATGATTCCATCTCCACCTGCTGGTGGAAAAGCAGCTGGCGATCTTCAATCTGCAATCTTCTGCTTCTCCTGCAGTTCCCGGATGTAATGTTGAATTTTAACAGTCGAATTTGAGCTGCTGAATTAATGGAAGCGAATATTTGAACTGAAATAAAATGAGCTGAAGATTGCCTTTTGAATATTATACATCATGTTTTTTAAAGGGGTATTGAATATTTTGTAAGTGAAATCCAGAAATTGCATGTGAATTATTGAATTTATAAGTAGGAAAACGTGTTTGAAATATATTCCGTTGAAATATTCACAGCTTAAAAAAACAGATATGTTAAATTTCAGCACAATTCAAGTCATTAAATGCAAGAACTTGTTAATTCTGTGTATTATTCCTTACAGTTTGTGCTATTCAACAAGATTTTTAATTCAAGACTTTTGGCATTGATTTTGGCCCATAATAAAGTTTGTTAATTAACTTAAAAGATACTTATTTGATCCTGTTACATGGCGAGGAAACACTACAAAAACATGATATCCTTTCACAGTCAGTCTTGTGGCTGTTTTAAACATGCAATAGAGATAAAGTAAACTTCTCTTTATTTCCTTGTTCTCAATCTCTCTGTTTGTGTCTCCTGCTCCTCTAGTCATCCATTTCTCCTCTTCCGTCTATTGATTTTAATGTCTGCTTGTTTGTCTTCTGTTAGGTTGAGCAGTCTGACATTAGGAGACTCTGAGCGCAGGTCTTCTCCTGGCCAGCAGAGGGAAACACTGCCTGATCTCTCTTCAGACAACACCGGTAATGCAGATTTCTGTTACAAGCACATTTACACTGGGCATGCGCCAGTATGAGATTCTGACTCCGTGATAAACCTTGGAATTAAAAATATTGTGGTTACTGCTCTAAAATAAGTCCCTTTTTAGATGTCCTGGCAAAAAAACAACAACTTTTTTCCCCCATTGAACACAGTATATTTTATTCTAAGAAACATTTAAAGTATTTTGGTGCATGCAAAGTAAATCATTGAGTTCTGCCGTCTTCATTAGTTTGCACAGATTTCTATCTCTTGTAAAGGCATCTTTGGATGTCTTTTCTGTGGATATAAAGTAAAGCAGCTTCTCTGTTCAGGCCCATAGCATGCTGGGATGTTGGTGTATAAGTGTTTTGTTTTGTCAAATGTTTCCTGAATCGTGAGCTGAACAGTAGCTTTTGATGTAGATGGTCGTCACGATTATAAAGATGGTAAGTCAAGGCGAAAGGGAGTAACATTAATTTTGGGTGAAACACACAAGCAAACACACAATATCAACAAGTAAGGGACAAAATACCAAGACTAACTAAATGCAGTAAAGTGAGTTTATTTACAAAGATAGTGATAATAATAAATGCAAAAATATGTGTATAGAAAGAACATTAAATATTTACTAGGACATATTGAAATTTGCAGATAACAAATGGGACACGACGTTTGACCAGATAGATGGGAGAGTTGGAGAAATGAGATGCGGGCGGCCTCCTAACAATAGAAAAAATAAAGCAAAACAATCTATTGGCCCAACATCTATCCTAACTATCCAGAAGAAAAATACAGCAGTTATTGAAAAGAAATCTTCCCGTCTATTACACACTACCTAACCTACTCTAATATACAATGAGAAAACAAAAGTACAGTGGGTGGAGCACGCCCTTACCTAGTGTGTCTAACAACAGAGATATTCAAATTACATGTGCACAATGTATGTCGCGCGACATTCTTACCTGTCCCACTCTCAGATGCACATGACACTGACGGTAGACAAATGGAGAACAGACAAATAACAACGGACAGATACCAAACTGTGACACACAGTAAACGAATATCAAATTCACTGACTGTAATGGAAATTCATTTTTAGATGAGCTTTATATGTTAGAAAATTGTCTAAGACTCATTATTACATGTGTGTGTATCTGTGTTCTCCATATGTTCATCATAAAACCTATGTGTACATTTTTTATAGATAACTATATTTCTTTAGGTGAAAGCTTTTTCATTATCCTAAGAAGGATGTGTGGTTGTTATGAGCATATCGCACGAACAGCAGAAGACGCCTGACGTTATTGTAGATGAGGCCTTATTGGGAGTTGACCTCGTTAGCAGTACAAACTAGATAAAAAGGGGAACACACTTTGCTTTAGTATCTCACTCTGCAGAAACTGTTGTTGCTGTATGACTGTGATCTTTATAAAGAATAAAACTTGTAAAAGACATCCCGGGTAGGACTTTGTTTCTTGACCACTGAGAGAGCCTCCTTAGAGAAAATAGCCACTACACTGACACACAGCACAACACAGAAATTCAGGGAGTTCCTCCAGAGTAGCGTCCTGTCACCACTTTTATGCCACGGTGGCTGCGGCTGGATTGGAGACCTTGGGTGATGTCAGGGGGGGCACGGCAAACAGCTGGGCAACGGTAGGCAATCGGAGCCCCTCTATGAGTGGAAGCGGGAGCGAGGTAGAGAGCGAGCGAGCATGGAGAGAGAGAGAGAGACTAGCAAAAAAAAAATTTGCGCAAAATGATTGCGCAACACAGGAATGTAACATCCTCACCCTAAAGAACAAACATTTCATGATTCTTACTCGTGACAGCAAATAAATAAATCCTTTTCTGCTGGAGATAATGTTGCCCCCAAACTGCTGTAAACCTTGAAACTGGTTATCGTGCCATAAATTACCCATATTGACCGTAAAATACACAAGATGAAAGTTTGAGCTTAAATCAGGGTTTCTGCGGGGTCTTAAAATGTCTTAAATCTCAAAATCTAAATTTTAGGCCTTAAAAAGTCTTAAATTTACTGATTTACTGAAATGTTGTGCTGTTGGTTTTAAATCTTTTTTTTTTTAACGGGTCTTAATTTTCCTTGTTTATTTATTGCTCCCAATCTGGCCAGAACACAATCACCAACAGTCCATCTCAATAAAACTTTAAACCTTTTAATAAAAAAGGTCATTTTGAACTTCATGCAGCGTAACACTTTCATTATTTTCTATACTATAACATTTGTTTAAAAGTGCTCCATGTGTTCACAGCAGAGGACACCGACCTGGACAGGTTTTTGTGCTTAGATTTAGTTTATTATAGTATTTAAAATGTTCAAAAGAGTCCAGTGTGCAGCATCCACTTGAATGATGTGACGGCAGCCACAGGACAACAGCGCCAGGGCGCTCACCACACACATTAGCTATTGACAGTAAAAGAGACCGTGATAGTGCCAATTTGGTGGAATGGTATGATTGGGAGGCCATGATCGTAGGGGCCGATAGAGGGACTTTGGTCAGGACACCGGGGTTACACCCCTGCTCTTTCACGAGAAGTGCCATGGGATTATTAATGACCACAGAGAGTCAGGACCTCGGTTTAACGTCTCATCCGAAAGACGGCGCCCACTGACAGTGTAGTGTCCCCTTCACTTTTACTGGGGCATTAGGACTCACACAGACCACAGGTTGAGCGCCCCCTGCTGGCCTCACTAACACCACTTCCAACAGCAACCTATTGTTCCCTAGTGGTCTCCCATCCAGGTACTGACCAGGCTCAGCCCTGCTTAGCTTCAGTGAGTAACCGGTCTTGGGCTGTAGGGTGATATGTCTGTGATTGAAAAAAAGTGTATGGATACAGCTAGAGCTTGCTTGTTTTTACACAAATATCTAAAACATAATTTTTTTTATTATTTATTTATTGCTGTGTTATTAAATGTATTTAAATTATAATCATTTTTTGATAGGGCAAATAAAAATCTTTTTACATTTGTGCCATTCTTTAGCATTTAGCCCTTCATGAGTCTAAAATTTCATTCGTAATTGTCTTAAAATGTCATTTAAAAGTCTTAAATTTAACTCAGTGAAACCCTGTTATATTTATCTGTTTATATTCATCTACTCATCTTTATATTTTCTGTTCCTCCTGATTTGACAGGAACGGGTTTGGTCCAAAGATGCGTGGTCGTGCAGAGGGACAATCTGGGGTTTGGCTTCACGGTGTGCGGAGAGAGAATCAAACTGGTGCAGAACGTCCGGCCGGGTAACAAACACTCTTTGTTTTGGGTCAATAAGATTTTATTTGAAGTTACATTAACACTTTAATTTAATGTGAGTTTGTTAAATTGATCAAAAGTTATAGAGTGCAGATTTTTAAGATTTCAGATAAATGCTGATTTTCATCCAGAAATCTTGAAATACATATATCACAGTTACCACAAAGGTTTACTAATAATTGTTTTGTACATTGATATTAATGAGACATGTGCAGCCAGTCATTATATTAGAAAGATTTCTGAAGAACAGTGTGATATTACAACATGATCTCACGGCAATTCGTAATTTTTTATGGAGACAGATAAGACTCATAAGTAATTCACGCAAAAGACACGATATACACATGCGTAGCCAAATTCACGTGCGTAAAATATTTATTTATATTCACAAAAAAATTTCACGTGCACAAAATAAAAATACATTTTCATAAAATACGTTTCACAAATGCAAAACACCATTTGCAAATGTATAGGAGTGTACAAAAAGTTTTGAATGTTTAAAACTTGCGAGTTCCTCCTGAATGAGAATGTGCAAATCCACTTTCACGTACGACTCCCCCTGGATACGTGTGTGAGTATTTTTGAGACTTTCCTGCCAGAGGCAGGGCAACTTGTACCTTTCAGCCAATCAGAGGAGAGCTGTAGTCAAGGACACCCAGTCTGCGCTCTATTTGCGCAGACTGTTCCTCGTCAGCATGGCGAACGGAGAAAGCAGCAGTCGCAGTCGCACTTTTTTTCATTTATTTATTTATTTGACCATAGCCTTACTCTTTTTATCCATTATTTTGCCGCAGCTCCGCTCTTCTTATTTATTGTCTCACAGCCCCATGAGTAAACCTTAGCCTGCAGGGTAATGATGAGGATTAACTATTATTCCGGTCTAATAAACCATATTAGGGCTGTTGTGGTCCAGCGGTCAGTGCGTTGGGTTCCTATGCCGTCGACCCGTGTTCGTTCCTCACCTGAGTTAGTGTTTTTTTTTTTTTTTCTTTTTTATTGTTAAGACATACAAAACTGTTAGGGTTGTTGAACATTTGAAGTTCTAAAGCAGCTGTTTTCTTGAAAAAGACGTGATAGTGTCATTAGAAACTGAATTGGAAATTATCTTATTTTAATATAGTCAGTCGTGAACTGAGGTGGGCCGGTCAAAGGCTTGAAACTCCAGGGCTGAAAAGGAGTCCCACTCCAGCCCTGGTTATATCCAATGAATTAAAACAGGCTTATGTTGTGCTTTAGTAATATAATATGTAAAATATACCCTATCATTCCGTAATATTTATATAAATAATCATTTTAAATGATGCTTATGCATTTATTTTTTTATTAAGCTAGAAACTAAAAAATTTACAATGAAAATATGACAACATAAACTAAGTGTTTTATTGTGTATATTGTGTATATTTATTGTGTATATGTGTATATTGTGTATATGTGTATATCGTGTCTTTTGCGTGAATTACTTATGAGTCTTATCTGTCTCCATAATTTTTTGATTTAGTGGCTAATTCCTTTAAATTTGTACAGTCTCATTCTACAATTTAGTATGATTTAGTATGATAGTGCATGTTCTTCCTGTGTTCACGTGGGTTTCCTCCGGGTGCTCCGGTTTCCCCCATAGTCCAAAGACATGCGGTACAAGTGAATTGGGTAGGCTAAATTTCCCATAGTGTATGAGTGTGTGTGTGTGAATGTGTGTGTGTGTGTGGATGTTTCCCAGAGATGGGTTGCGGCTGGAAGGGCATCCGCTGCGTAAAAACTTGCTGGATAAGTTGGCGGTTCATTCCGCTTTGGCGACCCCCGATTAATAAAGGGACCAAGCCGACAAGAAAATGAATGAATTGTTTTCAGGTACTCTGTACACCTCTGCTTAAAGGGTTAAACAAATAACACACAGCACTACTACAGGCACAGAAAATTTTGCGCTGTTATAATACCCTTACCTTATAATAAGTTTTGGTGCGATTATCACTCGATTAAAAAAAAAAAAAAAAAAAAACACGACAATGTTTTGGTGTGGCGGGATCAATTTTGGCTAGGCGCCCCGTCATGGAAGAATCAATGTAGCGGAAACTATGGACTTTATTATGTTTGAGACGTATGTTTGCGATTTATTAGACCATTTTTTTCTTCTATTAAAATCAGGCATTCGTCATTATCAGATTCACTCTCGCATTATATTCAACATCATATAGGCAAGAGTAGTTAAACTGAAACTGTTAAACATTTAGGGCTCTATTTTGACGGTCCATGCGCAGAGCGCAAAACGCAGGGCGCAAACGCTTTCAGGGCGTGTCAGAACGCGTTTTTGCTAATTTAAGGACTGGAAAATCTGCTTTGTGCCATGGCGCATGGTCTAAAAGGGTTGAGTTTATTTCCTAATGAGTTATAGGTGTGTTTTGAAAATAAACCAATTAGAGTCTCATCTCCCATTACCTTTAAGAGTCAGCTGCGTCGCGCCAAGAGCGCATTCGCTATTTACAGGATGCAAAGTAAGTCTAAGTGGAAAAAATGAGCATTTCACAAGCAAACAGTTAACAGGTTTTTTAACAGAAAACTGTTAAACAGAGCATCTACTGCGTGAGAATGAGAGATAATGGATTTACTTTCACATTCGCTCTTGGATAGGGAAACCTTTATGCACAGACATCAATTAGCATGAATAATTTTGTTTTTTAAGCGCAAATATTCGTTTCAAAACTATTTCTAAATTCAGTTCTAATTTCCAGCAAACGAATAAATGAACAATAATAACAAAGTGTGCTCAAAAACCTGAGTTATATCCTAAAACACATGCTGTGCCCCATATGGTCTAAAACCTGACAGGTGGACAAATCTATCTATATAAAACAGATATAAATATGGATATAATAAATAATACTGCTAATAATAATAACATTATACAAAAGCAAATTGTTATGAATGAACTGAAAAAGCCTCCCGAGATGAAGAAGACATAAAAGCAGTGATTTTTCATATTTATGTCGGCTAGAAAATAATGTGTTTTGTAATATTTTAATCCTTCATATTTATATCCTATATCTATTCTTATTATATCCTATATATATCCTTAATATTTAAATTTTTTCATATGTAAAGATATTTGCCTGTTGCTCTCTTGTGCGTATTAAGTAGTGCGTAAGCGAGGCGCAACTCTGCGCCAGAGTTTAGACCGGGTTAGTTTTGGTCTAATGAAAAATCTATTATAGTTTCCCAAAATAGCAACGCGCCAGCAGTGCGCCTCAGAACGCCTCCCTTTTTAGAGCAGAACGCCTATAGGCGCACAAATGAGCGCTAATGCATTTGCTATTTAAACAGCATAGCACAACGCCTCAAAACCACTCTTGCGCCAAGCTGAAACTACCAAAAGACTACTGCGCCGTGCCTTGCCCCACACTGCGCCGGGTGTATGATAGGGCCCTTATTCTCATGCACGACACGCTGTGTTCGTTATGAAAGACATATCAAATGCTTATAATGCCGCATCTACGGGGCTCATGTTTTCGGATATGAACCTAAGCGTCTGAAATAAAAGGAAAAGTAATAATCTCTTATCATCTGCATGTTTTGTTTTGTGCTGTCAGGTGGAGCAGCGGTGAAGGCTGGAGTTCAGGAAGGAGACCGAATCATTAAGGTTTCCTCAAACACGTCATGCTCTGTCATTGTAGCACTCATTTATTGATTAACCGACCCACTCACGTCTGCTTGCCCTTCAGGTCAATGGCTCCATGGTTTCCTCCATGTCCCATCAGGAAGTGGTGAAGATGATCAAATGTGAGTTTTGTGTTTGTGTTGTTGCAAAGTCCCTTTAAGGCAAGTCATTTCACTCTGCGGCCATCTTTGAAAAGCCACTAGGGCCTCTCTTATTGAATGGGGAAACGTCAAATTCTCCAAAACTGCTTGCCAAGCTTACGATTACATTTCATATTAGGAAACACCAATACAATTAAACAGCATTCGTCTCTTTAGTTTCATTTCTAAACATTAGAATCAAACAAAATTCTGCAGAAACCCGCTTCTGGACTGAGCCCCTCACCCTGAGCATCATCAGTCTATAGCGAATTCTGATTGGCTCCTGTACTAGAAGGCAAGGCTTCATTCGCCATATTGACCGTTACGCTAGATATCAACAATTAATACAATGTGCGTCGGCGCCTCGTGCACAAGTGATAAACATTAATTTGCTAGCATTAGCTTGGTGCATATGCAATGTGACACGTCCGACCAGCCAGTGCAAACTCTAAACAACAGTGCAAGCATGGCAGGTTCATGAACAGTTATGTTTGCATTTACATTTAGTCATTTAGCAGACGCTTTTATCCAAAGCGACTTACAAATGAGGACAAGGAAGCAGTTTACACAACTATAAGGGCAACAATGAATAAGTGCTATAGGCAAGTTTCAGGTCTGTAAAGTCTAAGAAGGAAAGTATTAGTACTTTTTTTTTTTTTTGGGTAAGTTAGTGTGATATCCAGAGAGGCAATTGCAGATTAGGAAGTGAAATGGAGCCTAAATAGTTGAGTTTTTAGTCGTTTCTTGAAAATAGCGGAAATAAACTTACTTTAGAAGTTACACACACTCATAAGTTCGGCTGTGATGCATCTGGCGACTCAAATACCTCTCACGAGTGCTCCGTAGCACTAAAGCGAAACGACAAGTTGCGTCAGTCTCTGGGGGCGGGACTAAGGTATAGCTGTCAATCATTTCTAAACTACTATTAAATCCCTGAACATTTTCAACACAATTATGCCTCGTTTCCACTGACTGGTACAGTACGGTACGGTTCGGGTCGGTACAGGTCACCTTTATCAGGCTTGTGTTTCCACCACAAAAGGTACCCTTTTGGTGAGCGTGGTGTACGACAAAGTTTAAGTCGACGTCATGCACGCTCAAGAAAATGTCTACAGTAAAGCTGTACGGGTCTTTCACATATCATAAAGAGCAGCACTTCTAATGCTGTGTTCACACCAGACGCGGAACACGCTATTCGCGCGTAAATACCCGCGTGAACATTTGAGTTTACTCGCTTCATTCGCCCGTCAAATCCGTTTCAATCGCGTGTCAAATTCACTTCAAAACAGACGCGGATTTGCGTGATGGGCAGGGCTTCTGTCTGCCCGGTGGCTCTAGCTTCATAGCTAAAAGGCTAACATGGATTTTATGAAGAAAATAACAGTGTTTATGTGCTTTATGGAGACTGAAAAACAGCGTCGATTCGTTTAGGGTCCTGTATGAGTCCACTGCATCCTTTCAGAGGTGCATCCAGCTCTGTGAGCTCATAAACTTCTCCAGAAACTGAACCTGGATGACGGAGACTTTTAGCGGTGCCTCTGACTGAGCCAAACCCAGTTTGATGACTTGTTGTCGGTGTCGCCTGGAGGATTTGCCCCAGGACACCATCAACAGGCACAATCACGCCCCCACAAGAACAAGCTTCTGATTGGTTAACGCGGCGCGAATGTCATTCAGATTTTCGAATTCGAGAGATTCGCGCGAAACGCTCGTTAAGCGCGTCAAATGCTCAATTCACCTCGTTCGTATCGCGCTATTCGCACCGCGCAATTCATGTCATTCGCTCCGCGCCATTCGCGTGTATCGTGCTGCAGGATGTCTATTCGCGCGTTTGTATTGACTTAAAGAGCCCATATTATACATGAAATAAGGTCATATCTTGGTTGTAAGGGTCTCCAACAACAGTCTAATATGCATGCAAGGTCAAAAAACACTTTCATGGTCTTATAATCTGCATTTATTTTTACCTAATTATCCCAGCGACTCCTGTATGAATCGTCCAGTGATTCATTTGTTCCCAAACCCCTCCTTAGCGCGGAGCTAATCTGCGCTGATTGGACCGATGACAGTCTGTCGCGATTGGTCGACTGCCTTCAGTCAGAGAGGGAAATGCCCAATAGCTAATCAGCAATTTAAAAAGTAATCACAGTTCATACACGCTCGATAGTGTAGGCGTGGACTTTAGCTGCCACACTATGGCCAGTGGATAGTGCCACGGATAACCGAACGAAGGAGACAGTCGTGTACTCGCCATACCACACACACACAAAAACACACACACACCTCCGGATGACAACGCTCCCGCTTCAGCCCGCACCCGCCAGGTTTTAGCCTGAGAACCCGCTCCGTTTTCTGCCCGCCGCGCCCGGTCCCGCTAGAGCGGAGAACACAACCAAATATCACCCAGTATACAGTCCAGACAGCCAAGGTGTCTGTATAAAAACACACACACAGCACAAAGTACACAAAGCTCGTTCGTTCGTTCGCTCTCTCTCTCTCTCTCTCTCTCTCCCCGCGCCAGATTTCTGCGGCGCGGGAATACATTTCCGAATAAATCGCGGGAGCAGAACTCTAGCACGGAGCTCCATAAACAAACAGCACGCGTCGCGTTTTTAACGTGACTTTGCACGCGATAAGATAATATATCCAGTTAACCTGATACAGTACACGCGGTTACAAGTAACAAATCACAACTAAATACATTTGCAAGCTAGAGTAAACGAGGCAACAACTTTAACCGCACGTACTTACACTTGAGAAATGTAGGAAGAAACCCATCCTGACGTCCATCAGTTACTCTTTACTGATCCTTCCTTTAACAAACTCAGATGAAGTATTCTTTGTAGCATGTAGCTTCCAGAAGTTTCCAACTGCTTGGTTATAATGCTGATGTTTCATCTTTGGGTAGAGACTCAATATATCCATCTGCAGTGTGACTTCAATCGACCGGCATGTTTGTGTGCGTGTGTTTGTGGGTGTGCGTGTGTTTGTGGGTGTGTGTGTGTCTGGGTTACTGCGTCAGAGGGCGGGGCCTCAGGTTTGAAATCTCCCGGGTTTGCGCGTGCACGTGAAAAACTTTGTTTCGTTCGTACGTCATGGCGAAACACCTAATGAGTCGGTATCAAGGCGACTCGTTTGAAGCACTATGATTCGACTCTTTTATAGATGAATCAACAGTTTTAAACACTGTATTCTTACAGATTTAAGCCTTAGCTGGATACTTCACTTCACTTAGAGCTGTGTTACACACTACATGGAGGGGAATTTTCAAAAACCCATAATATGGGCTCTTTAACATGAAAATCACTCGCGCTTGACCCGTGTTCCTCGTCTGGTGTGAACGCAGCATCACAAAACAGATGCTTTATACACATAAATACTTGTTTATAAATGTTCATTACTAACTTTTCTATGAACATGATTTGATTATAACTGCAGATCAATGACAGTGCGAAATAGCCTACTGTAACGTCTGTAATTATATAAAATAAATACATAAATGCAACATATATGAACACATACAGCCCCTTACAGTCTTCGATATATTATTAATTACAGAAAAACTACTCACAGCAGACATTCAGTACTTATTTGAGTTAAAAACACACGCAGTATAGCCCACAGTCAGCGCAAACTTCTCATCTGTGTCTGTAATCTTCATGTAAGCTCTGTTAGAGAGTCATTTTGTCATGCCAAGTTCATAATAGTCCAAAAGGCAAAGATAAACATGGCAGTTTGTTCATGATTCAGGCTGCTAAAACTATTTTGCTTCTGTGTTTTGACGGCTTCTCTCTTTTTTCCGAGTTTCACTCCCGTTTCACTCTCGCGCTTGTCCTTTTTTCTGAATGGATCAGATGACGGAGACACTTCAATCATCACACACACGTTATTATCATCAGCTCAAGAAGTTTGTTATATCAAATATAGAAGCGATCGCACGCTCCCGGAAGATATCAAATACCGCTTTCACTTTTAGACGGGCTCGTAAAACAACAACATATAGTATTTCCATGTAATGTCTCGGCTTTGTATTTAAAAAAACATGGCGGTTCCTTTGTTTTACGTTCTGTGTAGCTCCACGAGCTCATGACGTATCTCTGTAGCCAATCAGCATTCGGCTGCGCGTGTAGCTCCACCTTTTGCTACCCTTTCTCCTGTTTGGTACCCTTTCGAAAGGGTGCCGAAAAAGTGGTACGGTTTGGTTCGGTACGCTTTTTGACAGTGGAAACGGCCATAAAAGCGTACCAAACCGAACCGCACCGTACCACTCAGTGGAAACGGGCCAATAGTTACTTTTTAAGGGAGTAACTCAATATTGTAATGCACTACTTTCAAAATAAACTTTCTGCAACACTGATTACGAGTATGCAAGCAGAAACACAGATGACAGCCTCGTGAGAAAACTGCAATCTTGAAAGTACAATGTTAACATTTCTATATTTCTATTTAGCAATATTTTTTATTTTTGTTGCACCTGTTTTTTTTAGTTCAATTATTTTCACAACAAGGATTAGAGCACATTTATAAACATTCCTCAAGACTGTAAATGTACTTAAATTAGTTCTTTGCCAGATGTTGCAGGTTTATACAGGGTTCCTACGGGTGCTGGAAATCCTGGAAAATGCTTGATTTTTAATATAGTGTTTTCAAGGTTAGAAAAGTGCTTGGATTTTGAACAAAGTGCTTAATCCTGCTTGAATTTAAAATGGCATTGCTTTCATAATAATTTGTTATCTTACGGAGTAGTTTTCCTTTAAGCTAAAAGTTTATAATCAAATAATCAAAAACCATTTGACAGGTGGGACATTTGCCATACAGTTAAAACAGTACCTTAGTCCTAACCTAAATTAATATTGACAATAATAAAAAGTAATATTAATAAAAGCTTATAAACTGTCGTTTCCATATTTGGTGACGGATTTTCACAACAATTGACACAGAACATTGAACAGTTTATTCATTTGCAGCATGAATGTTTGCTGACTCTTAAGGATTTACGAACGAGAAATCAACTTCAGGTATAAAGAGAACAAACTTTAAAAGATACTTCATCCAATAACTGAACTTTAAAAAAAAAAAAAAAAAAAAAAAAATATATATATATATATATATATATATATATATATATATATATAATATTATATATATATTTTTTTTATATATATACTGTTGGGTGAACTATCCCAATAAGTCTACGCACCAAAATATTCAACAATTTAAGTTGAAATGTTATATTGTTTTTTTAAATAGCACAATGGATTTAAATGTGAATACGTTCATACAACATATATAAACGTAATATACCATGGTTGTTAGGTGTTGTAAAAACAAATATGCACATTGAAAGTGCTTGAAAAGTGCTGGAATCTGAAGTTGGAAAAGGTGTAACACCCTGTTTATAAACCAACAAAAATACTAAATTATAAACAAGACTGAAATATACAAAAGAAACAGTCAATTTTCCTAATGTCCTAAAAGTGCGAGTCCTCTTGGTTTGACAGCTGGGACGTATGTAGCACTGACTCTTCAAGGCCCGCCTCCTTCAGTCGCATCCACCCCACTGCAGCCCCTTCCTTCTGACCTCCTGTCCAATCACAGGACAGCACCGGGTGAAGCCCCACCTCTTCCACAGACTCCACCCACAGGAAGCAGCACCCCAACTCAGAGGATCACAGGACCCAAACCTTTACAGGTGCAGCACGTTTAACATCTTTACCACACATGTCTGCCATCTGCCACTATGCTGACACGAGGGCATTTATAGCCCCGCCTTCTGAAAAGAGCACAGTCTCATTTGAATTTAAAGCGGCAGTCACCAAAACAACACAATTAGGATCAAAGCCTAAAGGGGGCAGTCTCAGAGTTGTAAAACATTATCTGTGTGGTATTCTGAGCTGAAACTTCACTAGAGACATCAGAGACTTATTTTACATATTGTACAAAGGGCATAATAGGTGCCCTTTAAAGCCTGAAAGATGTGTTCATTGGTAAAGGTGTTGATTTTAATGTGGCTCTCCCTCCTCAACAGGACCCTGAGGTGCAGAAACACGCCACAGAAATCCTCCGAAAGATGCTGGAGCAGGAGGAGGCCGAGCTGCAGGTCTCAGATCAGTCACAACTCTGTGTTCACGCATGTTTAGACAGATGAGTTAATGCTGTTTGTCGTCCTCACTGTGCAGAATCTTCTGGAGGAGCAGTCCAGAAACCCCTCAGTTTCATTAGAGGAGCGGATCGAACGTGCCAAACGAAGAGCCAGTCAGGTCAGAGTGAAGATCCAGCAGGACGTGGTGAGGATTTGCATATTAATGATACAGCAGCTGTTGATGCATGAACTCTCACTGAGTATGTTTACATGGACAGCAATACTCTGATTTTAATATGAGTAAGATAATACTCTGATTCAGAGTCTAGCATGTAAACAGTGATTCTTGATGACCCTAATCCGACTCCAGGGGTGTCAAACTCAATTCCTGGAGGACCGAAGCCCTGCACAGTTTAGTTCCAACCCTGCTCCAACACACTTACCTGTAGGTTTCAAACAAGCCTGGACTCAATTAGTTTGATCAGGTGTGTTTAATTAGGGTTGGAACTAAACTGTGCAGAGCTGCGGCCCTCTTGGAACTGAGTTTGACACCTGTGTCGTAATCCATCTAAACAGATATCAGTTTGAGACATGGAGTATGCATATTTTAGGAGAGGGTGCTCGCTGCAGAGCCATTTGAGGAGAGCTGAGCTCCAGCGAGGGGGAGCATGAGCTGTCGCTCCTCCTCCTGTAAGCTGTTTTAATGCGTACACCAACCCCACCCCTAACCCTACCCCCAGTGACATCACTCGTAGAAGAAGTGCAAAAAAGGTGGAGCTCAAGCTTAAGCTCCCCCTCGCTGGAGCTCAGCTCTCCTCAAATGGCTCTGCAGCGAGCACCACTTATATTTTTGTGGCATTATTGAAGGGGTTTGAAAAAGTCAAGGTTTTAGAACCACCTAAATGTTCTGTTATTCTATATTATGTAAGTTTTTTTGTTTGTTTTAGTTAAGTTTTTTAGGACAACAGTATCTCCAGCAGAAAAGATATCCAAGATGCCGTTTTAAATTGTGATGGAGTCTGTGTTTTGGAAACTAATGAAGACAGCAAAGACTAAATGATTAAAATGGATCATTGACTTGACATGTTTACTGCTCCAAAATATTTTTAAAAATCTCAAAATTAAATATATTGTGGTCTAGGGCTGCACGATACATCGTTTCAGCATCGAAATCGCGATGTGCACATCCGCGATAGTCACATCGCAGAAGGTGCAATGCAAAGCAAAATAAAATAAATAAATAAAAAATAAAAAACATATATATATATATATATATATATATATATGGGTGGAGCTGAACCCAAATACGGTATTCGGAAAGTTTTTACCAATACTTATTTAAAACTTATTTACTTGAAAAATAATTTGTATTCGGGAACAAGACAAACATTATATCAAAAAGCTGCGCTTCCTCATGAGACCTGAGTGAGTGAGTGAGTGAGTGAGGGAGTGAGTGAGTGAGAGAGAGAGTGAGAGAGTGAGAGAGTGAGAGAGAGAGAGAGAGAGAGAGAGAGAGAGAGAGAGAGACAGACAGACAGACAGACAGACAGACAGACAGACGTTCAGGAGTCGGGGGCGGGGTGTAGCCGGGGTAAAAGGTGACTGACGCAGGCTGCTGCTCCACACAGCAACAGAGAAGGCTTGGCAGAGCGAAAAATACTTCACTGCATCACTATTTTTGTTAAATAAATTTTTGTATCTGAGTTGGGTTCCAGAGGCATTTTATAAACTTGTAGCGTACTTAAAGCGGAGTTTGATCGTTATATTATTCCATAACGCTGCATTATTGACGTCTGCAATCTGTTGCTCTATGTTTACGTAAGTTAGCTCTGTTAGCGCGGTAATTAAGACAGTTGACTGTTGACAGAGTAAGGTTAACGTTCGGTTATGAAGGTTAAAACGATGCTTGTGTAGTTGTGTCGAATTGTATGCACTTATAGGAGTTTTATGGTACGTTTAAATTACTGTCATTTGCAGACAGCAAGATATATGCTAAGCTAGTTAACCTTAGCATAGCTTCCCGTCACTCATAGGTATATACATCTATACCTGTCACTTATTAACTTTTAGGCACCCAAATAGATGAGTGAGGCTGCTGCTGAGTCATTCTTGGTCCTTGACCAGCCAAAAAAAAAAAAAAACTTGCTCTAGTTCTTTGTGGAAGAATTTTACAGTCAGTGGTGCAGCAGATAAAACAGTGATACTGTATGTAATCTGTGCATAAGTATATATATATATATATATATATATATATATATATATATATATATATATATATATATATAATATCGCAATATATATCGCAGGGAAAAAAAAATATCGCAATGTCAATTTTTCCCAATATCGTGCAGCCCTATTGTGTTCAAAGACATGTAAACCCTGCAATCAAACTATTAGCGTAGTGTAGGATTTTTCTGCTTTCTAGTTTTGAATCCTTCAAGCTTGTACAAATTTTATCAAAAGTAAACCTTTTAGATATTTAGCTTATATATCATGTCATTGTTATTATTATTAATATTATTTTATGTAGTATTATTGCTGTTAATGACTTTTTATTGTTAAAATGTTTTTATAATTATCAGGGTGTCTGCGGGTTCTTAAAGTCTTAAATTTAAAATCTAAAATTTTAGGCCTTAAAAAGTCTTAAATTCATTAAAAGAATGTCTTGTAGGTCCTAAATCATTTTAAATTAGTCTTAATTTTTCCATGTTCATGTTCATTTATTTATATTTAGTTTATTATTATTCAAAAAATTCTTCTTTTGAAGAAAATCTATGTTGAAAAAATGCTTGTTTTGACGCATTATTTAAAATGTGGCTAAGAAATAAATTTTTTTTTTTTGATAAGGCAAATAAAAAACTTTCCCGCTGGACCAACCAGGTCATTAGATAAAGATCTTTAGCATCTAGCCCTGTTTAAGTCTGAAATTGTTTTTATAATGGTGTTAAAAAAGGTACTAAAAATGTCTTAAATTTGACCTGATGAAACCTGCAGAAACCCTGATTATAGAAAAGTGATGTTTTAAAAAGGTGGTAAGCTTGACCTGTTTTTTTGCCATGAGAAGCTGATATGGCAATAAACTCAAAACTTTCTCTCTGTACTTTAGTTAGTGAATGAAATGTCAGAGGTGGGCTGTTTGTTTGTGACATCTGTTTGCACGCATAGTCTGAGAAATTAACTGCAGTTGAACTTGTCACAAAACTAAAACAAAATGCCCAAAATCACGTATGGAGCCATGATGAACATGAACTGTTGAAGGAGGAAACTAGCATCAAATGGTTGCGTAATGACATTAATCAAACTATGTGCTATAACATGTAAAACAGGAACATTTAAAAGCAACTCGTATAAACACCTTCATCATATTGTTGTCGTATTCAGATAATTGTCAGATTAAGGCAAATAATCAGATCACTGATGTCCATGTAGACGTAGTCTCTCAGTTGAATCCTGCTTTTACAGAATGTTGATTTACTGCTGGCTGTTTCAATCTCTTCTTTGTTTTTTTTTTATCAGGACGGCACTCGATCAGATGCAGTCGCTAACTATCTCACAGCAGGAGAAGGTCAGTGTTATAGTAAAGGTATATGTTGAGGAAGGCTTTGGTCTCCTGAGGCACTTTCTTTACCTTCATGAAGGCAGATTTTACTTTAAATTCACCTGTTAATGGTGTTTGTGTTTATCTGGTTAATGCAGGCCGACTGTCCATAGACTCCAGTGAAGGAGACGTGGAGGTGAGTGTATCCGCTGTTCTCATTCATTCATTCATTCATTCATTTTCTTGTCGGCTTAGTCCCTTTATTAATCCGGGGTTGCCACAGGGGAATGAACCGCCAACTTATCCAGCAAGTTTTTACGCAGCGGATGCCCTTCCAGCCGCAACCCATCTCTGGGAAACATCCACACACACATTCACACACACACACTCATACATTACGGACAATTTAACCTACCCAATTCACCTGTACGGCATGTCTTTGGACTGTGGGGGAAACCGGAGCACCCGGAGGAAACCCACGCGAATGCATGGAGAACATGCAAACTCCACACAGAAACGCCAACTTAGCCGAGGTTCGACCCAGCGACCTTCTTGCTGTGAGGCGACAGCACTACCTACTGCGCCACTGCCTCGCAAAAATTTTGCATCGGCCGGCAGGGCTCCAGGACGGGCGTCTCCTCATAGTCATGTGATAGGGGCTTGACGAATAAGGGAAGGATACACAATGACACGAAAGCCCCAATCAGAGAGGCGTAAGTCGACAGCCCCGCCTTCATTTTCAGATGTCTCCGTTTTTCCTCATCTACACTGAGACGGAGCAGCAGTGTTTTAGAATGAAAACGGCCTCTCCAGCGTTTCCAAAATGCTCCGTTTTCGGCGCTCGAAAACTCCGGCGTAGTGTGGATAGATGACGTAACTGTAGCAAAACTTCTGTGCTTTCAAATTAAAATGCATTAGTGTAAACGGGGCCTTAAACCGTTGATGTTGCATTTTTCTTATCAGATGAAAAGTTTGTCCTACTCAATTGCTTTTATCCAAATTTTAAGAATTTAAGTGCATAAAATAGTTGGTAGTTAGTTGGAAACAGAGCTAATGAAGTGTGTTAATGTTTACCGTCCTCATCTGTGTGTGCAGGTGTGTGAGAGCCCCTTCTCCTCTCCATCATCCTTCCTCAGGAACCCCCTGACCCACCGGCGGACCTCCGACACGCACACCTCTGATTCGGTGAGAGAGACATACACACCCACACACACACACACACACACACACACACACACACACACGTACATACAATTATTCACACAAAGCACACTCTCTCTCTGACACACACACACACGCAGTCCTGTAGAGATGCAGCATGTTATAGTGTGTGTGTGTGTCTGATTGTTTGTGTGTTTCTTTAGGGAAAGATGCAGATCATTGGACCAGAGGAAGAAGAGGAGGATGATGGGTACACGATCAATGAGGTGAGAGATGCTCTTGCACGTTATACACACACACGCACGAGCTTGACCCCCTCAACCAAAACTTATGATTAATAAATCCATACGAAACAGTCTCTTAAAAGTCACGTTTCGTCTTGACTTTCGGGCTTTGCACTTACACTACAAGCGTACCGCGCCAAAGCACAACCGAACTGTGCTTTGGCACACCTCTTCTAACCGAGCCAGGGTCGGCCAACTGAACCGCGCCTGGGCCCGATTCGGAGCACTTACACTTGTCATGCGAATTGGGAAATGAGGGTCAAATGCACCAGGGTACGGTTCGGATAGCCTATTGTGAGTATACACTGATATTAGATGGTGGTTTGTATGAAACATACGTTAAAGAAAATAAGGGCGTAAATATTCATTGCTTTTAACTTGACACAAACAGAAATTCCACTGTTCCTCCGCATTAGTAATGTGATTGAACACTATGATTATGCACGCTCTGATATGATCATCTAATAAACAGCACATTAGTGTTGACAAAAAGAAAAAACTAATCAACATTCAGATTCTTTGACAAAGTTTCTACTTTGAGCAGTTTTGTTGACAAATTGAACACTGCTCTGGGGTACTGTGGCAAATATACAGCACATCCAGAAAGTGTTGATAGAGCTTCACTTTTTCCACATTTCTGTTCCAGCTTTATTCCTAAATGGATTAAATTAATTTATTTCCTCAACATTCTACACACAATCCCCCATAATGACAATGAGAAAAAAGTTTTTTTTTTTAATTGTTGCAGATTTATTAAATAAAAGACCTGAAAAATCTCATGTACATCAGTATTCACAGCCTTTGGCGTGAAGCTCTAAATTGAGCTCAGGTATGTTCTGTTTCCACTGATCATTCTTGAGATGTTTCAGCAGCTTCATTGGAGTTCACCTGTGGTCAATTCAGTTGATTGGACATGATCTGAAAAGGCATACACCTATCTATATAAGGTCCCAGGGTTGACAGTGCATGTCAAAGCACAAACCAACCATGAAGACAAAGGAATTGTCTGTAGACCTCTGAGACAGGATTGTCTGGAGGCACAAGGCTGGGGAAGGTTACAGTAACATTTCTGCTGCTCTAAAAGTTCCAGTGAGTACAGCGGCCTCCATCATCCGTAAGTGGAAGATGTTTGGAATCACCAGGACTCTTTCTAGAGCTGGCCGGCCATCTAAGCTGAGCGATCGGAGGAGAAGGGCCTTAGGGAGGTAGTCATTAACCCGATGGTCACTCTGCTCCATCATTCTTCTGTGGAGAGAGAAGAACCTTACAGAAGGACAACCATCTGTGCAGCAACACACCAATCAGGCCTGTATGGTAGAGTTGCCAGACGGAAGACACTCCCCGCCTGGAACTTGCCAAAAGGCACCTGAAGAACTCTCAGACAATTAGAAACTAAGGGTGCTTTCACATCTGCATTTCGCTTCGTTTGGTCCGCACCAAGGGCAATAACTGATACATTGTTGCATTTTTTGCCGTCTTTGGGTCGTTTTCACACCACACTGCTGGCTTTGGTCCGAACCAGTTGAAATGAACCAAAATGCAGTCATCTGACAAAATCCACATCTCTCATTGGCCAGATGTTGTTGAACATATTTCCTAAACTGTTTATAGATTGGTCAGAATTCACGTGCGGGAAAATGCTAATAAACTCCTGCAAGTAAACAAAACCGGCAGACACAAAATGTCATTTTTTACTCTGGAGGGACGACTGCGCTAGCTAATTGTAACTTTACTTTAGACAAACTATACATTTCGAGAATGAAACGCGGCCGCGGCTGGAAAACAGTGTTTTTAACGCATCGCTCGTCACTTCAAGATGATGCTTGAATTAATTTAGTTAAACTGCGACATGGTCATCTTGCGGAAATATTACCAACGATCCATCAGGTAATGTGCTCCCCTCTCTCTCTCTGTTGGTAAAGCGCTGTCAACAAATATTTTTCCTCCATATCCCATAATGCATAGCGCATCGGCCTACGGCAGCTGAATTAGTCCAAAATGCGCAGTACTTTTTGCAGTTGAACCTGTTTTAGTACGGATCATATTCTCACCACAAACAAACCGCTCCAGGGTTCGTTTGAAAGACTACCGAGACCACCTCTTCAAGCAGGTCTCGGTACGCTTATTTGGTCCGCTTTTGGTGCGCACTCGAGTACGATTGCTGCATTCTCACCTGCCCAAACGAACCACACCAAGAGGAAAAACAAACTCCAGTGTGATTCAATCGAACTAAATAAGGCAGATGTGAAAGCACCCTAAATGAGATGATACTAAAACTGAACTCTTTGGAGTGAATGCCAGGCATTACGTTTGGAGAAAAGCAGGCAGCGCTCATCACCAGGCTAACAGCATCCCTACAGTGAAGCATGGTGGTGGCAGCATCATGCTGTGGGGATGTGTTTCAGCAGCAGGAACTGGAAGACTAGTCAGGATAGAGGGAAAGATGAATGCAGCAATCTACAGAGACATCCTGAGTGAAAACCTGCACAAGAGTGCTCTTGACCTCAGACTGGGTGACAGTTCATCTTCCAGCAGGACAATGACCCAAAGCACACCGCCAAAATATCAATGGAGTGGCTTCACAACAACTCGGTGAATGTCCTTTAGTGGCCCAGCTAGAGCCCAGATCCAAATCCAATTGAACATCTCTGGAGAGATCTAAAATATCTGTACACTGTCGCTTCCCATCCAACCTGATAGAGCTTAAGAGGTCCTGCAAAGAGGAATGGGCAAAAATTCCCAAAGAAAGAGTTGTTACATATTCAGAAAAACTTGAGGCTGTAATTGCTGTTAAAGGGGCATCAACAAAGTCTTGAGCAAAGGCTGTGAATACTGATGTACATGTGACTTTTCAGCTTTTTTATTTGTAATAAATTTTGCACCAATTTTAAAAACACTTTTTTTATTGTCATTATGGGAGATTGTGTGTAGAATGTTGAGGAAATTAATCAATTTAATCCATTTTGAAATAAGGCTGTAACAAAAAAAATTTGGAAAAAGTGAAGCGCTATCAATACTTTCCGGATGCACTGTACATTTTTAAAATTTTTTTTATTTTTTATTAACAAGAACCAACATGTACAGTTTTCTTATACAATACAATACAATCACTTTACATTTCTTAACAAGAATGAAATAAGTGAAAAAACATAAAGGAGAAGAGAAAAAAAAACAGAGGAGAGGGTACATAATTATCAAATTACATACAAATGGCTGCACATTTTATAATTTTAGTTATTTACAAGAGTTAGTAATGCACTTTTTTTTTTTTTTTACAGGAAATGCATATATACAAACATTTTATGTAAGAATGTTAAAGTAGGAGCATATATTGTTTTAATTGCTTTTCTATTTTGAGACTTGGAATCACTTTTATATACATTTGAATCTCTTTTTCTAACACCATGAAGAGAGGTTTGCTTTTGGAAAACTTGGATTTATGTATGTGAAATTTACATAATAATAAAATAAAATTTATAATAAAACCAGCATCTTTTAAAGAGCGATCCTTAACATAAAAACCCAAAATCACATGTGTATAAGATAAGGAAAAGGTTTTTAAGATATTATGAGCAATAAAAGCTTCAACATTGATCCAAAATAGTCGAGTATATTGGCAAGACCAAAATAAATGTGAAATAGTTTCATTAAAGCTTTCACAAAAACAGCTTTCTAACTCAATATCAATTTTAAATTTTTGTAGAAATAATTTTGGGGGATAAACTCTATGAAGTAACTTAAATGATATTTCTTTAGCCTTATTTGTGATAAAATTTTTTTGAGGTAATGACCAAACTTGAGTCCAGTTTATATTATTAAAGATATTGTTCCTGTAAAAAATAACATACGCTATAGACATATTTTCTTTTAAGATTAAAGATCTAATTTTGTGATTATTAGGCTTAAATCCAGAGAAACAGATACGGATGCACTGTACATACTGCGTACTACAGCGATATCATCTGTTACTCCATCACCAGGTGATGCCTTGACTTCTTTAAGTGTTATTTTTCCTCTGTTCATTAAGATGGACGGGCCGTTTCAGGACATCGAGCTGCTGAAGAGTCGTCCGGCACACATGACGGTGTTCATGAGATACGTCTTCGGTCAGCTGCTGGATCCAAACCCACTGGTCAGTGCTGCGCCTGATAATAGTACATGTGTTTGTTCATTAGCTGGATCAGTGTGTGTGTCTGTATGCACATGTACTGAACTGTAATGTGTTTGTGTGTTGCTGCAGCTGTTTTACCTGTCGGTGGAGGCGTATCTGGGTTCGAGCCCGAAAGACGCCCGGTCACTCGCCCCGCAGATCTGCTCACACTTCCTGGACCATGATGCTGTGCGTATCTCAACTACACCATAGTTTTCACGTGTTGTCATATCATTAGGGGAACGCCCCCTGGTGGGCAAAGTATTACTGTCCTTCGCTGACTGCCTGGTTGCATGATTTCTCTTTTTTTATACAAAAATCCAGATTAAGCCTGGTTGATACTTCTGCGTCAAGTAACCCACGGCGCATGCAACGTGCGTAGCTGTGCATTTATACTTCTGCGCGCTGTCTCTGTTGGTCTGCATTAACACTTCCGAAACGCTAGTTGGCAGTGAGGTGTAAATGTTCCTCTGTGTCGAGTTTCTTCGCTGCTTTTTTGCTTTTCCTGAACACTTCCGGGATGTACAAGTGGCTCAAACTCGCTCATTTTGAGGCAGGAACCGGCGGACGTGCAACAACTTTAACTATGAGGTAAACACAAAACAAAACTTTCCATCCGGAGCTCCTTCAGGGACTCCACACTTGTAAACAATCGCTCCATCAGGCTAGCACTAATCATGCGACTCTCGGTCCCGCCCAGACTCGTCAGCGCTACCAAACCGACCAATCACAGAGCTTGCGCTACGCGTCGTTGCGACGTGTAGTTACATTTTTTGAAAGGTGCACGTCAGCGATGCCGACGGCCACGGCGAAGGGCTATGCGTCAGCGCCGTAGCATACGCCGGCATTTGATGCAGAAGTATAAATCAGCCTTCATATGGATTATATAGTTACTAACCAATAAGGAGACCCACACGAACTGTGCTTCTGCGGAAATCTCTTATTGAAAAACTGCCAGAAAGGAGAAATTGATGGATTTGTGTTGAACGTTAGCATCATTGTCGGTTTGTTTGTATGATTTTATACAGTGTCTATTCTTATTTGCAGGTTTAGTGCAGTTAAAGTATAAATTGAAATGCAAAGCCAATGTATAAATGGTAGAAGTGAACGAATAGATTTTCCCTGCCAGCAAATATCAATCTAAGGACCTGTCCTCAGGTCTTTACACTGGCTGCCAGTTACATTCAGAATAGACTTTAAAGTATTATTACTAGTCTATAAATCACTAAATGGCCTAGGAGCTCAATACATTACAGATATGCTCACTGAATACAAACCCAACAGATCACTCAGATCTTTAGGATGATATAAACTAGAAGTTCCAAGAGTTCAGTTAAAGCAGGTTGAATGAATTTTCTGCCACTATGCCCTCCACTGCTGGAATCAGCTTCCAGAAATGATCAGATGTGCTCCAACATTAGGCATGTTCAAATCAAGACTGAAAACACATCTGTTTAGCTGTGCCTTTACTGAATGAGCACTGTGCTGCGTCCGACAGATTGCACTATTATATTTTTCTCTTCTTCTTCATTCTTTTATATCACATTTTACCTGTTTTTATGCTTTTTTTTTTTACTCATTTTTAGTGTTTGTTTTTATTTTTATTTTACTTGTTTCTTTTATTCTTGTCTAAGTAAAGCACTTTGAATTGCCACTGTGTATGAAATGTGCTATATAAATAAAGCAAAAAAAAAAAAGACAAAATCAGGCACTTAAAGACTATTGGCCCGTTTCCACTGAGTGGTGTGGTATGGTACGCTTTTATAGCTGTTTCCACTGTCAAAAGATACCTAAAAGACTCTATACTGCTCAGTGAGCGTCGTCTTTCGGATGAGACGTTAAACCGAGGTCTCGACTCTCTGTGGTTGTTAAAAAATCCCAGGATGTCCTTCAAAAAGAGTAGGGACCCACTGGCCTCCAAACCCTCCTCATTTCATAATTGTTTGGAGTGTCAAAATTAGTTGTTTTCTTCGGTGCATCGCGGATAATTCGGTATCGGTTCAGTAATAATCATAACCGGTTATTATGTACTGACGTCATTTATCTCCTATGTGCTCTGTCGCGAGGGAGGTGAGCGCTGGTATTCACAACACTCAGGACCCAACTCAGGGCCGGCCCATGGCATAGGCAGTATAGGCTAAGTAAACAAGTAAATTCTAAGGGCACTGTACATCCAGGAGGGCGCCAGAAATGAGTGCGGTTCAGTTGGTTTTGTTTTCGATATTTCTGCGAACATTCAGTTATAGACGGCAATACTCAAAAACCTCTTACCCTAAAAAGATTTAAAGTGTGTTTCCTACAATAAGACAAAGCTGGTTATGTTTCACAGCTGTCTTTTTCTTTTTTTTTCACTCGTTATCACAACCACTGCTCCCTTTAAGCCTATGCTCTGTGCGGCTTCCACAAGTAATTTCCGCCAGTAATTTCCGAATGTTGTGTGCAGTGCAAAGGCAGTCTTAAGGCTCGCACACACCGGGACGCTTTTCGTTTGCATTTATCGTCAGCGTTTTACAAGACTTATTTCCGTATTCAAACCCAAGCGATTTTCACTGGCGTCAAGCAGAAGAGTATGCTAAATCACTCTTTTGATGTTTTGATGTAAGATGGCGCTACGCAACTTTAAGCTTCTGACTCTCGAATATGACATAGAAGAAGAGGAGGAGAGGAAGTGCACATGCTTGTTGTTAAAGTTACTGGTGACTCGAACAAGCATGGATGGTTCAAGCAGCAGCTCTAGCTCTAGCGATGAAGAAACGATTATAGTTCACAAGAGCAATAAGCAGCTGCACGTTCATATCGCCTCTGGGCATCTTCTTCAATGTGCGCTTGCATTGACAGTTTTCCGCTTGAGTGCCTCCAAGTGCTGTTTACTGTAACTTCAGCAGTTCTGTGCACGGGAACTAAAATGCCGATCTGATTGGTGGAGAAGGTTTTGATGCCGCGCGTCAAAACGAAAAAAACGAGCAAGAGGCATTTTTTTAATGATGCTTTTGCGCCTGGCATTTTGCGTGTTGTTGTGCACGATTACATTGAAGACCGTTATTTAGTCGCGAGGCGTTAAACGTCGACGGAAAATGCGAGCAAAAAAACGTCTCTGTGCACAGGCATTTATACTGATTTCATTGCGTTTGCCTTTTAATTAGTTTTGTACCGCAGTTAGGAATTTTTGACAATAAAATTATTGTGAAATTTTATTACAATTATCTCCGAAGTGCTGTTTAACAGAGAGAAGTATTTTCAACACATTTTTTAAACCTAATAAGTTTAACATTAAGATATTTTAAATCAGAGAAATGATCCTTTTGATGTCTTTTATGTTTCACTTATGTTTTCATTTGCATGTGGCTACCACTAGAGGGCGAATTCCCACATTTGTATCTGAATGACTGTATATTTCTGATTGTTTTCAGCCTCTGAAGATCAAAGTGCGTGAGGAGTTTCTGACTGATATCGGTGAGGTTTGCTGCCTTTTTTATTCTCATGATGAACAGCCTCATTCAGATCATCTGCAGATTTGAACTGTGTGTTCCAGAGATTCAGTTTAGCATTTTTTATTTGTTTTCTCCACCCAGAGAATCGTCTTCATGCTCAGGAGGACATTCGAGGACCTCTTTCTGAACTACAGCAGCAGGTGCTTCCAGATATCCAGGATCAGCTGCAGGACTACAGGTGCGTCTGCATTAAAGGGACAATTCAACCAAAAATGAACATTTCCTCATCATATACTCACACTCAAACTGAATCAGTCGTAACGTTTTGAGAATACAGTCATAGCATTTTGAGAAAGAAGTTGCAACGTTTTGAGAATACGGTCATAAAGTTTTAAGAAAGAGGTCGTAATGTTTTAAGAAAGAAGTCGTAACGTTTTGAGAATACAGTCATAACGTTTTGAGAATACAGTCGTAACGTTTTGAGAATACAGTCGTAACGTTTTGAGAGTACAGTTGTAGCATTTTGAGAATACAGTCTTAACGTTGTCAGAATACAATGGTAGCATTTTGAGAATAAAGTCGTAACATTTAGAAAATACAGTCGTAACATTTTGAGAATACAGTCGTAGCGTTTTGAGAATACAGTGGTAGCATTTTGAGAATACAGTGGTAGCATTTTGAAAATACAGTCGTAACGTTTTGAGAATACAGTCGTAACGTTTTGAGAATACAGTCGTAGCGTTTTGAGAAAACAGTGGTAGCATTTTGAGAATACAGTTGTAGCGTTTTGCGAATACAGTCTTAACATTTTGGGAATACAATCAAAGCATTTTGAGAAAACCATCGTAACGTTTTGCGAATACAGTCGTAACGTTTTGAGAATACAGTTGTAGCATTTTGAGAATACAGTTGTAACGTTTTCAGAATACAGTCGTAACGTTTTGAGAATACAGTCTTAACATTTTGGGAATACAATCAAAGCATTTTGAGAATACAGTTGTAAGGTTTTGAGAATACAGTCGTAACATTTTGAGAATACAGTTGTAGCGTTTTGAGAATAAAGTTGTAACATTTTGAGAATACAGTTGTAACGTTTTGGGAATACAGTTGTAACATTTTGGGAATACAATCGTAGCATTTTGAGAAAACCATTGTAACGTTTTGAGAATACAGTCGTAACGTTTTGAGAATACAGTCATAACGTTTTGAGAATACAGTTGTAGCGTTTTGAGAATATAGTCGTAACGTTTTGAGAATACAGTTGTAGCGTTTTGAGAAATCAGTTGTAACGTTTTGAGAATACAGTCGTAATGTTTTGAGAATACAGTCGTAACATTTTGGGAATACAATCGAAGCATTTTGAGAATACAGTCGTAAGGTTTCGAGAATACAGTCGTAACGTTTTGTGAATAAAGTTGTAGCGTTTTGAGAATAAAGTTGTAACGTTTTGAGAATACAGTTGTAACGTTTTGAGAATACAGTTATAACATTTTGGGAATCCAATCGTAGCATTTTGAGTACAAAGTCGTACAATTTTGAGAATACAGTCGTAGCATTTTGAGAATACAATTGTAAGGTTTTTTTAGAATACAGTTGTAACATTTTGAGAATACTGTCATAACCATTTTGAGAGAATTTGTGATGTTTTGAAATAGTCTCAACATTTTGAGAATAGTCGTTACGTTTTGGAAATGATGTCGTAACGTTTTGAGAATAATCACAACATTTTTTAGAATACAGTTGAAACTGTTAAGCTATTAGTTACTAGTTAATTTAAATTATTAGTTTATAACTAATAAAGTTATGGTAACTAATAATCTTAACTTTTCTGAATTTGATTATAGTGAAACAATGTGCATCTTTTGTAAAGCTGTTTTGCAACAATTAGTAGAAAGCGCTGTACAAATAAACTTTAAGAGAAAACAGTCATAGTACTGAAAGATTATTTTTGCAATATTTAAAGAAAACAACATGTAAATTTTCCTAATTTTAACTTTTTCATCTTTAATCTTTGTTTTTAATGTGGCATTAATATGCTGTCATAACATCTTTCTCAATTAAGTTTTTAAAACTAATGTGTGTGCGTGTGTGTGGTCCTGCAGGAATAAGCAGACGATGGGTCTGGGCTCTCTTTTTGGAGAGTCTGACCTGCAGCAGCTGGATGGAGACCCTGTCAAAGAGAAGCAGGTGGTGGACAAACAGATTGTGGCCCTCTGGGAAATACTGTGAGTCCAATCATGTGTAGAAATAAACTTCACAGTGACCTCAACACTGACACACTGTACTGTGATCACACTTACACATGCATTAGCAGAACATATTATACTAAAGACAGACATATGAGACCCGTGTCTGGTTCTAAAATTGTGCTCATTTTCGGTGGAGATACTCATCAACATTAGTATTTGAATTTTGCTCGTCTCCAAAACAATTTTATTATTCATTTTTTTTCATTTGTTTGTTTATGTCTTTTTGGTTTAATGATTTGATCAATAGAAAAATTACTCATTTTACAGTAGAATAATACAGTAGAACTATTACTATAGTGATAATTTTCTAAAAGTGTCTACTTTCTATAACTCGATAATAATAATATTGTTTTGAGAATACAGTCGTAGCATTTGGAGAATACGGTTATAACGTTTTTGAGAATGAACTCAGCATTTTAAGAAGGAAGTTGTAACGTTTTTGAGAATACAGCGTTTAAAAATACGATCATAACGTTTTGAGAATAAATTCAAATTGTTTTGTGAATGAAGCCGTAACGGTTTTAGAATGAATACAGAGAATACAGTCATAACATTTAGTAAATTATTTCATCTTGTTTTGAGAATGAAGTCGTAATGTTTTTGAGAATACAGTTGTAGCATTTGGAGAATACAGTCGTAGCGTTTTGAGAATACGGTCGTATTGCTTGGAAAATACAGTCATAACATTTTGAGAATGATTTCATAGTGTTTTGAGAATAAAGTCTTAACGTTTTGAGAATGAAGTCTTAACATTTCGAGAATGAAGTCTTAACATTTCGAGAATGAAGTCGTAACAATTCGAGAATAAAGTTGTAACATTTTGAGAATGAAGTCGTAATGTTTTTGAGAATACAATTGTAGCATTTGGAGAACACAGTCGTAGCCTTTTGAGAATACGTTGTATTGTTTGGAAAATAGAGTCGTAACATTGAGAATGATTTCATATTGTTTTGAGAATGAAGTCTTAACGTTTTGAGAATGAAGTTGTAACATTTCGTGAATGAAGTCTTAACGTTTGAGGATGAAGTCGTAACATTTCGACAATGAAGTCTTAACATTTTGAGAATGAAGTCGTAACGTTTTTAAGAATTCAATCGTAACATTTTGAGAATACAGTCTTAACATTTTGTGAAGGAATTCATATTGTTTCAAGAATAAATTCGTAACAGTTTTAGAATGAAGTCATAACATTTTAAAAATACAGACGTAACGTTTTGAGAATACAATTGTAATGTTTTGAGAATACAGTCTTAACGTTTTATGAATACAGACGTAACGTTTTGAGAATGCGGTCATAGTGTTTTGAGAATATGATCGTAGCGTTTTGAGAATACAGTTGTAAAGTTTTGATAATACAGTCATAACGTTTTGAGAATACAATCGTATTGTTTTGAGAATACAGTCATAACGTTTTATGAATACAGACGTAACGTTTTGAAAATACGATCTTAGCGTTTTGAGAATACAGTTGTAACGTTTTAAGAATACAGTCATAGTGTTTTGAGAATACGATCATAACGTTTTGAGAATACAGTCATAGTGTTTTGAGAATACGATCATAACGTTTTGAGAATGAAGTTGTTAGATTTTTAGAATGAAGTTGTAATGTTTTGAGAATACAGACGTAACATTTTAAGAGTACAGAAGTAATAGCTGTTATTGATATTTGCTCTATTATTACAGCCATACAGTAGTAAGTGTATTACTAAAAAATATTTTTAATTGGTTTAATTTTAAAATCAGAGTAGTGTTATTACTGAACAATTATTAATAATTCTACTTCTACTACTAATATAAACAGGCATGATAAAGACTGAATCTTTTATCGTGGTTATGCAATATTGCATTTTTATAAATACCAAAAAAGATCGAAAGGATGGACAAACTTCAGTCTTAATAACAAATGTAATATTTTTAAAAATCTATAATTTAGATTTAAATATGTGTGTGCTCTGATTATAATTCTTTGATACTTTGAAGAATGCTGGAAACCTGTAACCATTGACTTCCATTGTAGGAGAAACGAATGAAAGTCCATGTTTTTCCAGCTTTCTTTAAAATATCTTCTCTTGTGTTTAACAGAATACTGACAGAATATACATTTGTTTGAGTGTACTGTGCCTTTAAATCAGTTTTTTGATGCTGATATTGTAAAGCCTGGACAGTTCTCTGTCACCTTTTACATCTGATGCCATTGCATCTCTTGTTAACAGTCACAGAGATGTAGAAAACTTTAAAGCGCACACACACACACAGATCTGCAGCTTCAGTCAGATGATACACAGATAATAATGCAAAAGAGTGACAAAAGTCCACCAAACACACACCACACCTCGCCGTCAAGCACTCACATGACCCGGAGTGCCTTTCTGCAGGTCACATGACAGATCACACACATACACACACACAACATGACGAGACCCTCGCAAAAACACACTTGCATTTCAGTGCTATGTGTGTTTGCAGTAATACAGTGATGCTAACATGCGTTTCCTTTCCTTGCAGCTCAAAACATGAGGAGGACAGAAGGTAAGCAGCGTGATTTCTATACTGCTAGTGTTGATTTATGAGTGAAATTACAATGTACATGTGTGTGTGTTAGTTCTCCTTTAGCATCTGCCGTTCATCTATATCTCCGACATTCGGGAATTAAACTCAGAGACTCCAAAGTGTTTCCCGGCTTGATGTCCGAGAAGGAAAAGTGGCTTCCTTTCTTTCCCAAAGCCAAAAAGGTGAGATTTTCCTGTAAATGATGCAGATAATCAAGCCTCATGCATATTCCATATATAGGTTTAAATGATTTTCTGAGCACCTCCAGGATTTTTCTGTGTTTTTTCTGCCTGCAGTGACTGATTCATCAGTGACTTTTCAATCTGCAGCAATATCTGTGGCGTTTTGTGAATTGTTTTGCTGTTAAAAATACACACAGACAATAATATTGCATGATAAAAATATGTATTTATAACCTTTGAGCTCTGTAATTTCTATAAAAGAAAGATTGAGTGAAACAACTGTGTTTACCTCATAACCCAGTAAAGGCTGCGGTATCATATCTAATACATGAACACTCTGAATAACCAGAATTAATCAAGGAAAGATCTCGTTTACCGTAGCATAATCATTAAGATTAGACAAATGCAACCTGCTTAATGTCACTGGTGCATTTACAACAGTTTCCATTGCATGTTTTAATCAATTATATTTCGCACTTGACCACCTCATGTAACGTTGATAAACTTTGAATTATTCTAAAGCTCTAAAGTGTGTACCTCTCATATGTGTCCAGTGTTTTGTAGGGCTGCTCGATTTTGGAAAAAATCATAATCATGATTATTTTGGTCATAATTGTAATCACGATTATTCTAAACGATTATCAGTTGAAGTTAATTATTAGCGCTCCTGAGAATTTAGTTTTTTTAAATAACTATTTCCCAAATTATGTTAAACAGAGCAAGGAATTTTAACAGTATTTCCTCTAATATTTTTTTTTCTTCTGGAGAAAGTCTTATTTGTTTTATTTTAGCTAGAATAAAAGCAGGTTTAATTATTTTGAAACCCATTTTAAGGTCAATATTATTAGCCCCCTTAAGCAATATATTTTTTGATTGTCTGCAGAAGAAACCACTGTTATATAATGACTTGTCTCATTACTGTAGCCTTTGAACTGCACTTTTTATCTAAATGCTTGTATTTTGAAAAACATCTAGTAAAATGTTATGTACTGTCATCATAGCAAAGATAAAACAAATCAGTAATTAGACATGATATATCAAAACTATTGTGTTCAGAAATAAGTTTAAAAAAATCTTCTTTCCATTAAACAGAAATTGGAGGAAAAATGTTGCTAATATTCTGGAGGGCTAATAATTCTGACTTCAACTGTGTATATATATATATATATATATATATATATATATATAAGCATCTTCACCCTAAGAAAAACACTTTAGCTACAAAAGTCCTTCAGTCAAGAGCAGTAAGGGATGTTCTCGTCGTTTGATTAATGATGAAGCAGGCGGCAGCATTTCGCACTGTCACTTTAATGGTTTCTCTTTCACGAGTCTTTTGATTCTCAACTCGTTTGTTTATTAAGCAAATGAGGATTAATATGAATAATCACTAATCACCGCGTTTTGACGCCCATTTGACCATTAAAGCGCTCATGTTAAGATTACTGTAGATGTCTGCGCTCCTCTGCTTATCCCAGTGTGCCAATGAGACCGAATGCTGACCGCGTGCTTATGCGTGTGCGCGTGTTGCACACTCACATAAGCACGCTGTCTTTTGCGCTTTTGGTATATGATGCAATAATCGTTTATCTCGATTAATGGTTTTTAATAGTCGTTAAAAGACATAATCGAAATCGAAATCAGATTTTCGATTAATTGCACAGCCCTAGTGTTTTGTAGGAAATATTATGTAGTGTCAATTAAGGCTGCACCCTAATTGCCAAAATAATGGAAAATTATGACATTGTAATATCTAGTTTTTCTGCAATATACATCAGGACATGAATATAATCTCACTAGATAGCTTGAATCTCTTTATTTAGAAAGAATTCATTAATTTAGACACATTTGAGGTTATTCTGGGCGTGAATCATGCATAAAATATTTTGATTTAAAAGCATATGTAAATACAATAAAGCGAAGGGAATATTTTTGGGGGGGTGAGCCGAGCCGGTGCAGGTACAGAAATTGAATGATCAAATGTGAAGACATTAGGGCTGGGTGATTTTCCCTAAATTGTTAACTCGATTACGATTAATAAACGCTTATTTTATTCATTTATTTTATGTTTTTGCCTTCATAGTTCACTGACAAGTTTTGTACAGTTACTGTGCTCACATATTACAGGTGAGAGATGTAGGGTGCATTACTTGATTTGAAAATAATTTAAATAAACGCACAATATCTACTATCTATGATTATTTATTGAACATCATAGTAGAACAACTGAAATTTGACTTATTTATTTCGAACAGAAATATCATACATTAAATTTCTTTAACGAAAAATTAGGGCTGTCAAAATTAGCACGTTAACGCACGTGATTAATTTTAAATATTTAACATGTTAAAAAAATATCGCAAATAAGGCAGTTGCAGTTTATTTTTATTTCCTGTTCTGCCTGACGTGTGTTTAGGGACGGTGCGGTGCGCCTTGGGCAGCAGAATACTGAGCGAACCCCCCAGTCTTCACTTTTATCAGCTACACCGACCCTCTCCCTCATTTTCATAAGCAAAAAAAGTCACTTTCTTTTTCACTTTCGGGTTGAGGGCGGCGTGATTGCCGTTTGCCTAGAGTGCCAGTTCAGCTTGCTCAGCCCTGCGTGTGTTTGACATGCAAAGAAATTTGGATAAAACCAAGGACGCGCTTTTAGAAGGAAAGTTTCAGCATTAAACAATTAATTTGGCATTACCAGGCTCTCCAGCGTTTCCTCCAGAGTTTCATGCAATTTCGGATGTTTCATTTTTAATCTTTAGACCTAAACTGCAGTTCAGCAGTTCACTCTCATTCAGCATATTTTCATTCAGGATGTTTTAATGGAGTTTGATACCGCATGGTGAACGGAAAGGAAAAACCTCCTTATTTGGGGACTCGCATGATCCTTTAAGGTAATCAAAAATCGCTGCTTACGTGGTCGACTCCTAATCAGAGTATTATCTAAATCATAAAAGCAGAGCATTGGTGTCCATGTAAATGTACTGTAGTGAAAGTGGCAGATGAAGTCGCGAGCTGTCAAAGACAACCCATTCCTCTGCCTTTAAGCTGCACCCGAGCCCTCACAATTCATAAGTTTCACGTTGCTGTGTCAAAATCGTTGCTTGTAAAATACAGCCAGACTTTAGAATGCTTAGTTTAAGCAAGTTTTATGAACGCGATTTTTCGTGTTGATGATCGTGTTGACAGTGCATGCGTGTGTGTGTGTAGTCCACTTAGTATCCAACATAGAAATCATTTTTGTTTGTTATTGACTTTGATTGTTTTGAAATTCAAATAGCATTTAAAGCCTGTGCTTTTATTTCTGTAATAAATACGGCGTTTCGTGATTAATCATGATTAATTAAAAAAAAACTGTGATTTAATTATTTAATTTATTTTTATCATTTGACAGCCCTACAAAAAATACATTTCAGCATGATCTAAAGCAGGGGTGTCAAACTCAATTCCTGGAGGGCCGAAGCCCTGCACAGTTTAGTTCCAACCCTGCTCCAACACACTTACCTGTAGGTTTCAAACAAGCCTGAAGGACTCAATTAGTTTGATCAGGTGTGTTTAATTAGGGTTGGAACTAAACTGTGCAGAGCTGCGGCCCTTTTGCAACTGAGTTTGACACCTGTGGTCTAAATGGAGCGGGACGAAGCACAAGCTTATTATTTTTCCACCCTATTACCACACACATCATTCGTCTAATACTTCAACTTAATTCATCTTTTACTTATCTCTTCTTTTTACATGAGACATATTTTATCCTTTGGGCATCTTTGATATATTATATGTTTGATTCCATTTGTACATTTGCATTTTATAGCATGGACCCAAACAAATACATAGTATTGCAGCAGCCATTGATTGAAGTTTCATCATACCTTTCATCATTATAAATTAAAACACACACATTGTCTATTAGGCGGCTCTCTGCGCCGACCATCCTCGTCACCACTACCAAACCAACCAATCACAAAGCTTGCGTTACATGTCGGTGTGATGTGTAGTTAAATTCTTTTGTAACTTAAAATTTTTTTGTTTACTTTTTTTATTTATTTTATTTATTTATTTATTAATTTTTTACATAATATCAGAATATTATACAGAACGGGGTCATGTGACTCAACAAACAGTAGGGAAAGTAATTAAAGAAATTGACTTGGAAAAATTAGAGTCAGATCAGGTCTGAATGTCGATTTTGATTAATCGCTCAGCCCTTAATGACACTATATTATCTTGATTTTAATTAGTTCAATAAAATACATTTTATTTCAACTTACAAAATGTGCAGTTTTTTGTGCAAAGTTGCAGCTTTTCAGAACACACGCAGATAATAAAGTTTTATTATGAATATTTACGTTTTCGAAATTATGACTAATGCTCGTGTACAATCCCAACATATAAGCTCAGCATTGCAGATCCTGTGACTATTGCAGACATGCACATTAGCGCATGCACAGCCCTAGTGACAATAATTTATTATTGCCCTTCCAACTGCATCCCATCACTGGGAAACATCCATATACACTCATTCACACACATACACTAAGGTCAATTTAGCTTACCCAGTTCACTTATACCACGTTTTTGGACTTGTGGGGGGAAACCGGAGCACCCAAAGGAAACACACGCCAACTGACCCAGATGGGGTTTGAATCAGCGACCTTCTTACTTTAAGGCGATTGTGCTACCCACTGCGCCACCGTGCACATTTTTATTTGTCCAAAAATTAAGTGTAATTGAAAATTAATATGTGAAGTGTCTTTTCGTAAACCTAGCTGTTATTTTGTATCATGGGCTTTATCGTTATTATCGTGGCATTATGATGTTATAATTTTTAGGGTAAACATTTTATTTATACAATCAATATAGAAATTGTTCAGGGGTATGAATAATTACAGGCTTGACTTTTTATATTTGATAAAAATATATGGTTTTATCTCTCTGGAGGACTCTGCTGATAGGGCTGGGTGATTTTTCAGATTTTTTCCATTAATTCGAATTTACGTTTTGACGACGATTTAATTTCATATTAAATCGAGAATCGCGTTTTTTTAATTTTTAATTTTTTATATATATTTAATACATTATAATGGCACCAATGCGCTTTGGTTCACTCTTTGTATGAAGCAGGAAGCCCACCAGAAGCGCCTCTCGGCGACGCGTCGTGCAGCACCCCGCAGCGTTATGGATTTTAGAATTCTAAACAGGTTTCTATACACACACCGGCGCCGCCCAGCCACGATTCAGGACGCAGTTTATATTTTAGCTGCGCCACAGAGCGCTATCTGATTAGTTTCATATTAAATATCATGCGAATGTGCGCGTTTGATGTGTGATATTTTAAACTGTCATGTGCGCGCCGTGTCGCGGCGCTTCTGGTGTGCGGCCTGCTTGACTGCTTGTTAAAGCGTGAAGTCATGTAGGATTTTACTTGTTGCATTAGTCTGAGTCACGTCTGTGTGGATTGTCAAGACATTCCCTCATCAAGTCGATAAACTCGATCTCAACATGTATGAAGGACGTAAAAGCCTGCCATGTGAAAAACCGTGCCGATCTTTTGGTTTGAACACGAGCAGAGGTGAGGGACTGTAGCAGTGAAAGTGAAAGTACCCGCCCCCATGATGTCATTTAGCGGACCTGGTTGAAAACCAGACAGATCAGCCAGCATAATAGAGAGTGGAGCAAAGTGCATCAAATGATCAGTATTTGAAAGGGGGAAAAAAGAAAACTAGATTAAATATATTATTTTATATTAGACACATCTGGTGCTTGTATTTGCTCCTACTATACGTCCACAGCTTCACACATTGGGTTAAATTAGGCTTTACAGTTTCCATGTTCAGTCCTTTACTTCCACTGTATCTTTTTAAGAAAAAGGCAGCAGCTTTACAACCTGTCATTCAATCAGAAGAAGACAAAGCCAAAGCCAAGCTGACAGCCAATCTTTCCTATAGGCTCAGCAAAACTTGCAAAAATCCCTCTGTATTCCTGCAACTGCAATATTTACACTAATATTTCTTATTCAAATCTTCAGCAACGCTATTTAACTCGTAAATTTGTTTTACATTTATTTACACCTTGACCGATTTTTGTGTGGCATGGCCATTAAAAATACAATGTTCCTTAACTAGATGGTTTTTCAAGTTACTTCTAAAGAGAATGTTACTTCAGTCATGTTGTTGTAATGTTTTGAGAAGACTAGTAACACAATAAAAAAATCGAAATCAAAATCGTGAATCGGTCAAACTTTATAAAAAACCTAGATTTTTTATTTTTTTTGCCAAATCGCCCAGCTCTACTCTGCTGATAGTTGTTACTGTGCTGATTTACCATTCTTCATGTGTTAATGTGAACAGCTGAGCAGCGCAAAACGAGAGAGAGATGGAGAGGACAAGAAGAGAAACCCCATACTGAAGTACATCGGCAAACCCAGGAGCACATCGCAGTCCAGTAAACACAAGCGCACACACACACACACACACTCAAACATACAAGCAAACATACAATCATACATAGATATGCATGCATAAACAAACACACAAGCGCACAAACACACATGCATACACACACATGCGCACAAATGTACATGCATACACACAAACTCGTACACATGTAATCTAGCAGACATACACGAACGCACGTACGCAGATGCTCACACACAGATACAGGCATAGAAGCACACATAGAAACACACATCACACACACACACACTCACATTCATGTTCTCACTGACACACGTTCGCAATAACATGCTCATACACAAACACACATGCAAACACACAAACTCGTACACATGCAATTAAGGAGACATGCATACACAGATGCACACATGCACCACACACACTTATGCTCTCACAGACCCACATAAACACAATAACATGCTCACGCACACACAAACATACAAACACAAACACCATGCATGCATACACAAATACACACACACACACACACACACACGCATACTCGCATGCATGCAATCAAGGAGCCAAACACAGACGCTCACACACACTGTCATACACAGATATGCATGCATAAACAAAAAGTGTGCATACAAACACACACACACACACACACACACACTCACACTCATGTTCTCACTGACAAACATTCACAATAACATGCTCACACACAACTACACATGCAAACACACACTCATATTCATGCAATCAAGGAGCCATACACAGACGCGCACGCACACTGTCATACACAGATACGCATGCATACACAAAAAGTGTGCATACAAACACACACACACACACTTACACTCATGTTCTCACTGACACACGTTCACAATAACATGCTCACACACAAACACACATGCAAACGCACACACTCATATGCATGCAATCAAGGAGACATGCGCAAACACACACAGATGCACACTCAAACAGATGCACACATGCACCACACACACTTATGCTCTCACAGACACACATAAACACAATAACATGCTCACGCACACACAAACATACAAACACACACACCATGCATGCATACACAAACACACACACACACACACTCACACATATGCATACCTGCACGCATGCAATCAAGGAGCCATACACAGACGCTCACACACACTGTCATACACAGATATGCATGCATACACAAAAAGTGTGCATACAAACACACACACACACACACACACACACACACACTACACACTCATGCTCTCACAGACACACATACACAATAACATGCTCGCACACACACACACACACAAACACACACACACACACACTACACACTCGTGCTCTCACAGACACACAGACACAACAACATGCTCGTCCAAACACACACACACACACACACACACACACACACACTACACACTCGTACTCTCACAGACACACATACACAATAACATGCTCGTCCAAACACACACACACACACACACACTACACACTCATGCTCTCACAGACACACATACACAATAACATGCTCGTCCAAACACACACACACACACACACACACACACACACACAACTACACACTCATGCTCTCACAGACACACATACACAATAACATGTTCGTCCAAACACACACACACACACACTACACACTCGTGCTCTCACAGACACACAGACACTATAACATGCTCG